TACTTTCCCTGGTTGAAAAAAAAAACCTCTGTGCTCTTTCAAATGGAAGCATAAACATATTTAAAAGTAGGACATAGGTAATGTGTGTATGCCAGTTATCATAAAAAAGAAGATAACACTTTTGGGAAGGATTGTGAAAGAGAAAGACCATAACCCTATCCTCACAGCGTGACACTTTTTCCTGTTAAGGAAACTGGCACAGATGTCTCACACAAGACTGGCATGAGCCCCAGGGGCTTGGATGAAAAGGCAGTCAGAAGCAGTACCCCCTGCTAAATGCAATCGTTTCTGACCTCATAAACAAGAAGACACTGAGACTCCATGTCACCAATTTCATTAATTTTCAAACAGGGTGAATACAAACAAGGAGGTCTCATGCTCTGATTTTCCTAATTAACTCAGATGATTCATAGTGGGTTAATAACTAAGATCTCCTCTCTGCCATCCACCAGATGGGCAGAGCTTGCTTCCTGGGAAATGATCTGACAATTAAAATGCACAAGCAGTCCCCTAAGAAACTTCATTTTCAAAATACTATGCTCTCCATGATAGGGTTTTTACTTGAATGAATGCTAGCCCTGTTGCAGGATCACGAAACATAATAAGAAGATTGAAATGTTTATATTCAGGCTTTCTGAAGGCAAAAATGGAACCATTAATGTTACTTTGTTAGTGATTTCTACCTAATGATTCGTGTAATTGACATTCATCAATGACTTGAATGAGTGCTACAGGGATAAGTGTGTAGTGTTAGCTTCTGTTTGCTCACATTCTTGCTGATGAACATGAAAGACAAAGCTGTATCCGAAATAAAGAGGAGAGTCTGGAGATTCAGTATCGTCTGCACATTCACTGCTTAGCACGTACTGGATCAGTGTTTCTTTCCTGTCAGCCTTTCAAATTCTGGGTTTCGCACAAAGGACATGCACCTTGCGCCAACATCTCAATCTTCTGGGAAGTGAGGAATCCAAAGATCTCTTTCTGTACCCTCACAACCAACACATTTGTTGAAAATAAAAAGGACCAGGCTTTGACATTTTCCAGCTTGTTATCTATTTAATTTTCCATCTGCTTCTTTTGCCATTGACTTCCAAAGGAACATCTGCTGCGTAGCTGAGAGAAAGGAAGCAAGATTGGATTTGTTCCAGCTAGGTCTACAGGCCCAAAGCTTGAGCTCCAGAGCAAGGGAAGGGAAGAAGACTAACAAATGGCCCAGAACATGAGATGAAGACAAACAGTCTGCGAAGAGCCGGGTTGTATTTCCCTTTATTGCAGAGCCCACCTGACCAAGCAAGCTGGGCTGCAGCATCAATACACAAGGGTGTGGTGCAGAGGGGACAGCAGGGCTCGCTGAGCTGGACAGGCAGCACCCAGGGCTCACTCAGACACCCCTTAGGGTCTCTTCGTCTTCACAGGGTGGTGTCCCATATTCCTCAAATCCTTTAAGCATTTATGGGGCAGATGCTGTGAGCCAGTCTCCCTTCTGAGCTTTCTGGAGGCACAGATGAATAAGACATAATCTTTACCCATACAGAGCTGACCTAAAATGGGGCAGAAAAACAGTAAACAACAGATTGTAATATAAAGCAACACTGCCATTCCCTGGGTAGGGAAAAGGCATTACAGGATTGCACAGAAGGAGCAGAACCATGCCTGGTGCTGTGAGGAGGTGGCCTGGTTCCAGGCAAGGAAGAGCTGTGTGCAGAGGGAGAGCGTGAGCAGAGCCTGAGGGATGAGCAGGAATGTCAGGAAGTGAGTTCTTTTCCTCATCCCCTAAGAGCAGCATACAACATCAAACCTGCATAAGTGAGTCAAAAAAGTTAATCTCTCAAAGCTGTTCCCCCACCCACCATGCCCTCAGTGTCAAGACTGCAGGATTCTCACCCAGTGTATTAACCAATGGGCTGTGGCATTTCACAGTTGTCTCAGTTACTCTTCTCTCATTGCTGGGACAAATACCTGACACCCCAAATGAAGGAAGGAAAGGCCTTTTTAGCTCACAGTTAGTGGAGGTTTCAGTTCATACTCACCTGGCTCCAGGGCATAGTGGCAAATGGCAAAGAGCAACCTTTCATGGTGGAGACGAATAGCAGAGAGCAAAATAAAGAAGTAGCAGCAACCGTGGCTGTATTCAGGCTGTGCTCCCCAGGCTAGGTGGAGTACTCACACCCATAGTCCCAGCAGCACTCACAAGCATAGTCCCTGTGGATCATGAGTTAATCAAAAACTATAAAAGTCTGCACCATGATGGCACAGCTTTGGGAGGACAACTAGGCACAAACCATAGCAACAATGTTACCTGAAGGGTGGCAGGTAGGGATAGAAAATGCTGGTCCAGGAGAGGTAGAAACAGCATTATCAAAACTTCCTGACTGGCTATAAGGAAGCAGTGACAAAGCAGCCAGTTGTTAAATTTTAACTTCCCTTAGATATCTAACTTAATTGCATTGAAATCTTTGTATATGGGAGAATCAATAGCAGAGTGATGACCTCTAGTGTAGGAGTTCGGCTGTGAAACAATCAGGTAGTGGTGAGTAGCTACTGCGGGCACTATGAATGACACAGAAGTATAAGGCCCAACCTTGGTGTCTAAGAAGCCAAACTCTAATGGTAATGACTGCAGTATCAGCTAACTAGACAATGTAAACATACTCTATAGTTCTGACATGACATGACGTTTGGCAACTCAATGAAAAAAAGAGTATGACCAACACAATCCTTCATGCTTGGGAAACCTATACACTTCCTCACTTTTCAATACTTAAAAGTGGCATAATTAAGAAGAGTTGTTCTCTACTTTTTCAGGAAAAAATAATCCACTCAGACCAAAGTCAATAAGCAGAATTGACCGATGCTTTCCACAATCCAGCTTAGCCAGTCAGTCCCAAAGGGCACCTATCTCCCAACCAAGAACATTCTGTGTCCGATGGATAACAGTCAATAACTGTTATCACTAAATTGGTATAACAAGAGAGGTGAAGATTCCTTAGGCTATGTCTACATGACTTTACCCAAAAAAGCTTGCTAAAAAAGGCAGTATAGAAATAGAACTTGTATCATTTGCTTTGGATTAGTCAGAGTGTACACTGAGATGCAAAAGTAGTTGGCATAAACTCTGACTATGTATTATGCTTTGTCTTAACTTTAATAAATTTTTAAAATATGGATTAACAAAATGCAAACAACTATGTAAAAAGAATCAAACACAACTGTTTTTCAATCACATATTTTCTTTCCATCTCAAAGGAAATTTGCCTTAGTTTTTTAAAGCATATTTAAAAATAATGTTTTATCTGGGTGTGCCTTGAGTGGCAAGCCAACCTGGGGTATGCAGTGGGTGACTTCAAGGCTGACCTGAACTACATCATGAGACCTTATGTCAAAAAATTAGGGGCTGGGGATACAGCTCAGGGATGTGAGTGTCTTCCTGGCAAACACAAGATCCTGAGTGCAATCCCCAGTCCCACACAGAAAAAAGATGTTTTAAAATTTTTATTGCAATAAACTGCAAATTTATAAGATCAAATTCATTGTTTTGTGTATTTTTAAATTAATGTGCCTCATAGTAATCCTTATGATTGTCATGAACACATAATGTTCTGTTTTATAATTTTATAAAAAGATGTTAAAGATATTACAATTTTTTATTTTAAAGTAATACTAATACATAGTGTGGATAAGAAAAATCTGTGTTGTCCATCTGCAAAGAATGTGCTAAAAAAAAGTTTGATGAATGAAAGCTTTTGGTATTTCAAATTAGGAAAGAAATGTGTTTTTTTTTATTATATTAATTTGTTCTGGGAAGAGAGAAAAGTTCCGAGGCAATTTAGATCAGGAAGTGACAGTTCAGTATTTTATAATTTACAGAGAACAGATACACAGAATATCCTTATATTGGAATATATGCCTGATTTATAAGTGCAAAAGCTGGGATATAGAGTAATGCAATAACAAAATCCTGCTTGCTGAGGCTTATAAATGTGTCTTCTGATTCCACAGAACTTTGTGACTCATTCATTATCTTCTCCCCATCATTCTTTTCAGTTTTATTTACACACACACACACACACACACACACACACACACACACACACACACATTTCTTTAGGGACAGAGCCAAAGCAATCCTTTCCTTAGCTGAACTTGAATATATTGTTTCTACCAAAAACTCTAGGAAATAAGATTTAGCAGGCTGGTTTTCAGAGTGATCCTGACCACATTTTCTTCTTGCTAGCCTGGTTTTCTTCTTTGGTGAGAAGTCTCTGTGAGGCCTGATAGCGTGCCAGGTGAGTGCGCCACTCAGAGCTTGGCCACCTGCCTAGACAAGCGCCACAAGCACAGCGGTGAAGCCCACCGTGATCTTCAGGTAGACTTGAAGCTCAGGAGCTTTTGGGACTGAGACATTATGCTGAAGATTAGCTGCAAATGAGCTTCAGGTAGTTACTCAGCAAGGGACATGATCAGATTTAGTAAACTGCTGGAATATTCCAAGCCTAATGTTTTCTGAATTTTAGAATAACTATGAATAATTTCCTCTGGCTTCAGCATAATACGGATCAAGCATAATAAATACATCCAGGGAATTAAGCCAATTGCTGAGATACAACCGCACGTTGCTGGTAACAGAAAGAGTACATGATGGCATGGTCATCATTTAAATGAGGCACAGATTGAAACCTAAGTTAGTCACCGTCCACCCTGTTTATTATTTCCATGGGATTTTTTTTCACTTTTGTACACATGTCTATTTCATAGCACTTCTGAGTTTTTCTGTGTTTCCTAATCTCGAGGCATATGTAGGAAGCTTCTTCAGGCCCTTTATCCTGCTTCTGATAGGTGAGTTCAGCCTGACCACAGACTCCAGGACAAACATATTTTTCTTCTTTCCTATCTTGTTTTCTAGGGTTAGTCAGAGATCAAAGGTCACACTGGGGGGGGGAAGCAGTATCTGGTTATTTTTTCCAACTTTATTTTTAATTGTACTTATTTGTTACCCTTAGGACTACCAAGAAGCTTCCAATTTGGAACAGTTTGTGACTCGATTTTTATTAAAGGAAACTTTGAATCAGCTGCAGTCTCTCCAGAATTCCCTGGAATGTGCCATGGAAACTACTGAGGAGCAAACTCGTCAAGAAAGGCAACTAAACATTTTCATAAGATGTATCTTTAGCGATTCTAATTTTGTGGAGAACCAGTTGAGAATCGTTGTACTAATGAAAATTAAGACTGAAAATGAGTGGATTTAAATGGAATGTCAAGGACCTCCACTTGCTACTTGCCTTGTCATTTGTGTCTAAGAAAGAGCCATTTCATTCTTTTCTAAATACCCTTCATTTACTCAGAAATTTGGAATTTAGTAAACAGAGAAGAGTTTAAAAGACAATATGGGTGGTATTAATATACATCTAACATTGTGCTCATCCTTAAAGAAGTGAACATTTATTATATAAAAAGACATGAGCAAAAACAAACCTCTACACTAAATAGTACAGTATTATAAATATCATCTAGGAAGGAAAGAAAATTTGATTTAAAATTATTAGAGGGACAAAAACCTGTCTCATGAAATTTCCCTATGACCTTTGAGCTTTTCTTTCAAATGAGTATAATTTGAAAACATGGAAAGGATGACAAAGGGCCTTACAGAATAAGTGGATCTAGGTATTCTGAGAATACATGAATTTTAATAAGCCTGATTATTTAAAGAAAAGGAAAAAATCAAGAGGAAAAAGATTTCAAAATTCAGTGTTACCATGAAGTATCACGGAGAAGAAAATTGGTGATTGTATGATATATCTACCTAAAGGTACTAATGCTAAAAGAACACCTACATTGGAAATATGTAGACAGCAAAGTAATTCTGACAACAGTTAGTACATTACTGAATTGTCATCATTCATACTTTGCAAGTTAAAGAAGGTTGCCAAACTCTTGCTCTTCTGGTGCATTTTGTCCATATGCTACTCTAAACCTACAGATGTGCCTTTATCTATCTTTTGATCATAAAGTAGGAAGAAACACACAAGTGTTTTGAACAGGCTAATGTATTACTCTATAGGACTAATTTTTCCAGGCAAGTTAATGGGCATACAATTACCAAGATACACCAAAAATGGTGTGATTTTGAACCATGCTACCACTGTCAGAAAGAGTGAACACTATCAAGTTTTAATTTTAAAAAAGCTTCTAATTGCAGGATCTAAAGAGTTTATGCAGCTGAGTCCCAGCAGGACCCACTGTTTAGGTGACTCACATCACAATCTTTGCATTGCCACGGTTAGGTGATTCCACATTAATGACAAAGTGTGACTGTTAGCTTTGGAAAAGCAACAAACCAACTCCTCAGCTTTGAGCAGAATATAACTGAATGTCTTGAAGCATAATGAAATTGATTTCATGTTCCTGATGAGAAAATGATGCCTCTTTTGTTTCTTTTCTTTAGATTTTTCTGGAAATACAATGAGTTGTCCTTTCTTAGAATTAATCATTTGCCACCTGAGAAGAGGCTTGAAAAACCCTCTGCTCCCAGTATCCCCAGTGCTTTGGGTTTTCTTCTATAGTTACCTCCTGAAAACTTACATGTGCACTTGCCACCATACAGTGAATGGTTAATGAACAACTGTTTTTCGTGTTAGGACACAGACCACACCAGCCTTGAACTCTTGTAATTTCTGTCATTAGCTGCATAGCAGTTGGATTGGATGAGAAGGAACAGATACTTTTCTTAAAAATACAGATTTTAAGAAAAGTGGAAAGCATGAGGATTCATGAGCCTTTTACATCTATATTTCTAATTTACTGTTTGAAATAATGGAGCTATTGCAAATCTGTTGTCCTTGTGGAGAGTACCGCTGTAAGGTTTTTATCAAAAGCATCCAGAGAAGCTCAAATCCGTGATCCTCCTTCCTGGAGCCAATAAACAAGCAACTAGGAAAAAAAAGTACCACAGTAGGTTTGTGTCCAGAATATCAGGTGTGAAGTTTCTAGTGAATCAGATGAAAGAACAAGTTTTATTCTGTTCTAATAAGACTTTGTCACTTTTCCCGTGGCCACACTTTGCTATGCTGGCCACAAAAAAAGCAAAGCAAGGAGAGCACCAGGGACTGTACAGTGAGGAAAAGACAGAAAGGGAAACCATGACATCAATCAAGAAACCAATGATGGGGGCCGAGGAGATAGCTCAGTAGAATAAGCCCTTGCCTGGCAAGCACAAGGGCCTGAGTTCAATCCCCAGTTCCGCAAAACAAACAAACCAAAAACAAACAAACAAACAAACAAACAAAGCAATGATGAAGTGATGAGGAGATTATCAGACTTGCACTGGGCCCTTGGGATGAATACCAACAGCCACGTGCTCTTCTCTCGGAAGGGATCTCCCCATTGTCTCTCACACAGCCCGTCTTACTCACACTTTATCTGGTTAAGTCCAGCTTTGTCCATTGAACAGTACTTTCTCTGGGAAGACTTCACTGCTTTTTTCACAGGATCTCATCCTCTTACTTCAGCATCAGGTGGCCCCAGTGCATACCATTCACATATGCCTGACACAGCCCATAACTTATTTGCCTTCTCCATTAGGTTCTAACCGTCTTGATAGACTTTGTGTTGTTTCCCTCCGCCTGGTATAACTTTATTTTAACTATGTGAAACTGAACAAATGAAAGGTAATCTACATAAAGGGAGCCTTCCAGAGGAGTAGTGGGTGAAGACCTAGACAAGGAGGAGAATAATTTAATGGGAATCTGAGGTTTAGGAAGACCTTAGAAGCTAGACATATGCACTCAAACTGAATTATATCATAGTTTGCTACTGGTGGTTGTAAACAGAAGAGCAATATAATAAAACAAAGGCTTGAGGGACATTGTACTCACAATGAATTGAAGTACAGGATAGCAGGTTCAGTAAGACAGATCAAATTATTGTATCCAAAACACTTCAGGCATTTATAATTATAAAAGAAGACATCATGATGTTCTGCAGTCAAGAGTTGAACCTGAAAGTTTCATTAAAATTTCCCCAGTCATAATAATTTGCTTCCCTTTCAGCATTGACATTACTTTGGGATTTAATATTTGTGAAACCTAGGGATACAAAGACTCATTACAATATAGCAAATTTAGACAAGTCAGATATTCCATCTATGAGCCCCAGGGAAGGATCACACAGTATCATTCATCCTGCAGTAATGAGTTAGACATGCCATGTTGGGCAAAATGTCTAAGTCTATTCATGTGAAAACGGCAATTTCAGAGAGAAGGGATGTGTATAGCTGGGATGTCACAGAGGTAAGGTTTTCAGATGGCATTCTGTAACAATTTCTGTATCTGCCTTGGCAAATTGACCACATTGAAGCTACTTTAATCCCATGGGACTTGCAAGTACCTAATATCCAACGGCAAGATCATTATGTATTACCAAAGTTTCCCTCTAGAGGACTCGTGTCCTCTTACATAAAACCTTTTTGAAAAACTAAATTTTTGGGGAACACAGTTTGATTATATGTGGATTTCCATTTTATAACAGAATCTGCAAGTTTAGTCTATTTTTCAATTTTCCTTTATATCCAGGGATATGAATGATTCCTTCTAGGCTGGAAATTATTTCCTGATAGTTGTATATAACAGCCATAGGAAAGGCTTTAAATTCATCAACAAGTAATTATAAAAATTGACAAAACTTACAGTTGTGTAGCTTGAAAATAGAGAAAAAATGCTCTAACTAGCAACATCTATAAAAACTGGCTCTGCTAGAAAGCTAGTGTTTTTATGCCATAGGAAAATCCAAAGGGATATTTAAAGATTAGAAATTAGGTGTATATGATTTACTTTCCTTCTTCCCTAAACTTTCCAAAACTGGGATCAAATCTACATAGAAAAAAAGAAGCATTGACCCATAAAAATAAAGACAGAAGAGCCAAGCAAGCAGAAACTGGAAACCTACAAGATGAAGCTAGTGGAAGCAGACTTAAAAGTCTGGGAAACTGAAGCTTAATCAGGTAGTAGAAGAACCACGATGCAAATCAATTGGCTTCACAGAACCTCAGAGTAGTCCAGGAATTGTCTGTACTATGTGAGATCAATGGCAAGGTGACAGGGAGATAGACAGAACTCTGAAGGCTCCATCCAGTGCTGTGGTGCGACTTTCTCTGCCCATTCCAAAGAACCCTAGGGGAGTGCTTTCCGGGAAAAGGAAGAAAACATAAACCCAGCACAAATGGAAACCTGGGAACAGTACTAAAAATAAGGCATTAATTAAAGATTTCCCTACTGTACAGTAGGTTTGAAACCACCCCCCTTTGCATTCTGCCTTCAGATCTTTGCCAGCCTCATATCTTCCACTTCAGAGCTACTTCTCTGAAGAATCTGATTTATCCAAGAGAAGGGATGTACTATGATGGTGCCTGTGATCAGGGTCCTCAATAGATTGCTCCAGTCCATCTACCCTGCCACAGAGGCTGTGAGTTGGCAACTCTATCAGCCTTCTGTCTCTTCACTCTGAAATGGAGGGGCTGGTAGGACCTGAGAGAACAAAGCCAACTTGAGAAAATAAACAAAAAAATCAAAAATAATCTGGAGAGCAGAAGAAATTTTTCAAAGTAAAGCATCAGTACCTTAAAAAAGCTAAAGGAAAACACTCTGTGTATTAAGGACAGGCTGCTGCTAAACAGAAGAATATTCAAAGGAATAAAAGAATTCTGGGAAATTGTAATTACAAAAATGTAATTCTCTGAGAAAGTTTTGGTATAAAGACATGAAATCTCCATGAAGCAATTAAAAACAGGAAAGAATAAAAAAATTGGAGGGACGATCCAAGATATCTAATATTTGTAAAAATAGCATTTCCAGAAATAGAGCAAAGGAGATTAATTATCAAAAGAATGATTCAAGGGCTGGTGAGATAGCTCAGTAGTCTAAGCACCTGCTTGGCTAGCGTAAGAATCCTGGTTCAATCCCCAGCACCACATGATGTGCGGGCCCTACCCCCAGGGCCTACCGAGCTGGCCTCCAAGATGGACATGGTGGTACACCCTGTAATCCCAGCACTGGAGAGGCTGAAACTGGAGGATCACTACAAACCTGAGCTGCATCGTGAGACCCTCTACCAAATACATTTTTTAAAAAAGAAAGAAAAAAAAAACAAAGAAAGAAAGAATGAATGATTCAAGAAAAAAATTTCAGAACCAGCCTATGAGTTCCAGCTTGACAGAACAGAGCAACAAGCTATTATAATGAATGACACAGGTCTAACACACTATGATCTAGGCAAAGGAGAAGGGTATTTCTTTTTGTTGAAATAAGATTCATGGAATTATTTGATGTTTTAATATCTATAGGTGTATAGCTTTGATCAAAACATTGACCTATGAATGAATTAAACAAAAAACAATAATGCCAAATGCACTAATGCTTCTTCCATTAATAGTACAGCCAGTGAAGGAGAGGAGTTCTTAAATTACAAGATACAATTTTACTTAGATTTCTCATTTTTAGAATAAAGACCTAGAATCCTCTTTTTCAGACTCACATATAATAGAACTAAATTACCTAGGTCTCTTGGGCATGTTGTAAGCAGTGCTTCTTTGAGGTTTTAACTTCCATACCCTGGAAACTTTTGTGGCTGAAGCGTAAAGAGGCAGGAATCAACGTGGATGCTGAGGTTCTCCTTTCTCTTGGTTCCAGGCAGGGGCCAGCCAAGCCCGAAGTCCTGTCCATCCAATGGCCTGGAAAGCGATCCAGCCGCCGAGTGCAGAGACACAACAGCTTCTCTCCCAACAGCCCGCAGTTCAGCATGGGCACTCCAGGTAATGCAGCTTTCATCAGTTTTCTTCTTCATATTCAATGTTATTTATATTTTCCAACAGTTTACAAACAGTTGCTAATCAAGAGTGGAAATAGAGCATTTTTCTTCCATGAAGTCTGAAGCTGAACAGCTGAGGAATGAAGGATGTTGAGAAGTGGGTGGTGATACGAACCACCTCCCAATGCTTCTGTACCTGCTTCTACATGAATTCCATCAGCTGTGTGTGGGAAGCATCCCCTGAGATGCTGAGCAGGGAGAAAGTGCCCCCTCTAGCAGCTAGTGCCCAGAAGAAGGGTCTCAACTCAGGTCAGCCTCTGTCAGTTTTCTTCATTGGTTTTTACCCTTCACCTTGACACAAAGAGGTACAGCCTCCACTCTGGTAAGCTCTAGGTCTCCATGTCTCCCTAAGCATACTCTAAATTCACAAGAGCAAAAAGATCCTCATTTCCTATCATGCTGAGATTAATCAGACCTAGTATTTTTGAGGTTTGTCATATAGGATTTATTGGCTAACTCATACTGCTAGTTATTTAGTGAATATACTTTCAGCATATTATCTATAATGTTTAAAGTAATCTAAAATATGCAAATTTTTGTTGATAAATATTGGAGTGATTTTATATAGCATGCATATACACAAGCACACGGATCCCTTGAACATGGCATTCTCACAGAAATAAGTCTTTAAGTTGCTAAGATTTCAGAAAATAAATGTCCTAAATACATCCTCTATTTACACTGACTGCACATGACGGAATCAAAGATGCTTTTGTGAACACAGTCACATTTCATCCCAACATAACTTTCCCCCTTTTGCCATTTGACAGCTAAGGGAACCCATGTCCAGGGACAGTCCAGGATCATGTGGATTAGTCCATTTTTACTGGGAAACAATTTAACATCTCTTAACTGCAAAGATTTGTTCCACCCTTGTGAAGCTACGCTTGGCCACAATTCAGGCCACCTCAGCTGAACACGGCTCCAGGCTGTAGGTTGAGCTTTGCTTTGCTTCTCATATAGCCTTTCTGGGCTGAGTGACAACTGGAGCTTTTTCATCTCCTGGTGGGTGTCAGTCGCACCTGAAGCCAGGCCAAAATTATGCAAATACATTTAAAACCACTGTGCACAATTTTTCTGTTAACTTTCCATTGGCCAAATGAGTAACATTCCAAGTGCAGTAACAACAGGGAAAGAAATGTACTCCACCCAGTAGAGCAGGAGATGCTGGAAAGTTTCTGAGAGAAGGGTAAGTGTGCAAACTTACTTATACAGCAGGGAGAAGGTGAGAAATTGGGAGCAGTGATGCCACCTACCACATCACTAGAAAATGGCAATGCGGGATCACTGAGATCGTTCCTCCCATTTTAACATCTTAAAAAGCAGAGCTAGTCTGAAATATCATATCCTTCCAAGGGACTCCTACCAGCCACATTAAATCTTTTTGAAAACAATGCAGACTAGAAATGAAAAGGTATGCATAAATATTGTTTATGTATTTATAGTATTTTTGCACATAGTGTCTCTTCCTGTCTCTCTTCCTCCTCCTCCTCCCTACTCTTCCTTCTCCTCCTTCTTTTTCTTCTTCTTCCGCTCTCTCTCTCTCTCTCTCTCTCTCTCTCTCTTTCTCTCTCTCTCTCTCTCTCATAGTCCCTTTTTTGTGGCAGCATTAATATTCATTTTTATATCCAACTTTACTTGGCACACTTCTTCCCCCAAGAAAACCAGGTGGGAATTCTGATGTGAAACACTACTCTTTTATAATTTAGGTATTGAGTTCATTGCATTCAAAACTAAAGCAAAAATTTATATTTTTATTATAAATTGAAATTATAAATTTAACCACACCCTCATTTCAACAAATGCTAGATATGTTGCTTCAACAAAATACCTGTGGAAGGAGTTTGAGTAAGCTGCAATAAGGATACAAGAGAATACCAGATTCTGCAGGAGATAAACCATAGCTGGGAAACCCTAGCTTTGCGTAGTAACAACAACAACAGCAGAGCTTTCATGATGTTTAACCTGGTACTAGATATACACACATACATATATAAATTGTGAATATAATATATATAAAATATATACTTTACAGATTGTACATACAGGTATGATATTGGAAATATTGTGCATATATAAAAAATTTAAACAATATATTACACCTAAAGACACATTGTCACCTACCTCCCTCAAAATATTTCCTCTTGTGCCAAATACACTAATCCCATCATTCTTGCCACGTCCTGAAGCAGTGCTGGAAGTCCTCCTTCGTGAGTGTCTGTAGTTTTGCTGCCATGGCTCCCTGGAGGTCCCGAATAGATTCAAAACATTTTCCTCTCATGATCATTTTAACTCTGGGGCAGAGTCAGAATTTGTAAAGTGCCAAGTCTAACGAATGAAGCTGATGGGTACACACAGGAATGTTCTTCCAAGCCTGACCTTCTGTTGATGGCACCCAGCAGCAGTGTTCACCATCTTTTTTTTTTTTTTTTTCTCTCTTATACACACTCATGAAAGGACTCTCAAAACTGCTTCAGAAAGTGACAAGAACAATGGGATAAGTGTTTTTGAAGTGAAGGGAGAATATTTGATGGAGATTATGACAATGTGCCTTTTACTATAATATTTTTTTAATTTACACATTTACTATATATTTTGATCTCATCTGCCTTGTATGCAATGTCATATATAGGAACATAGGGAGTGACAGACTCAGCCATGACTAGAGAAGCCATGAGGTCAGTGCTTGGGAAGGGACACAGAGGTATCTAGTTCTTATGCTTCTTTTTGACTCTAGCAATTTATAACCTCTGAGATTAGGGCTGTGCTTTCTTTATTGACTCCAACCACTGCCCCAGAAGTAACTTTAGAATTATCGATTGATGTTTTCCTTTTTCAAAAGAAATCCAGCTGCCTTTTGGGATAGTAAATGTGGCTCAGGAGGATCTGTTGTTTTGAATATCAAAGGCGGATATAGACACCACTAAAAGCAGACCTGTGGGAGATTATTAGAGAAGAGGAAAGCGGGGAGGGGAGGCCAAGAGGGAAGTAGTAGGGGGCTGGATATAATCAAAATACATTGTGTGCACCTACAAAAATGTCACAGTGTAGCCCAATAGTCTGTCATTATGTGTACTATAGAAAATCAACCTGTAAAAATGAAACCACCAGGATGCATGGATCTCTGCTAATCAATAACTTAGAAAGCACTCAGTGGAATACATTTTTAAATGCTTATGTAAGTCAAAAACATTGTCTTCTTCTTTCAGGATAGAAGGAGGTATAATCAAGCATTCCTGCTGTGCCTAAAATTTTACATCTTGCCTTTGTCATTCCCCCCAAGGCTTACTAGAAGAAGACAACCAGTGGATGACCCAGATAAACAGACTCCAGAAATTAATTGATAGACTGGAAAAGAAGGTATGTGATTCCTCTTCTATCTTCTCTTTCTTGCTTTTCAAGATATTCCGAGCTAATAGTCCTCATTGCCTCAGTCTCCATGGCTACCCCAAGGATAGAATAACAGTCATGATCTCAGTGATTCTGTCGAAGTCTGGTCCCCAGTTATTGGGGTTTTTCATTTATTTTTGTTAAAGCAAATAAAGAGGCACACGTTAACTTTCTCTCTTCTCTCTGATGCCAGTTATATTTAAAATAAGATAAAAGGTTGAGAATTAAATAAATCAACTGTACTTTCTGACTCAGGTTATCCAAGAGACATAGATGGTAGATGGTTTAGTGATGCTAGTGACAGCTTTTAAAGACATCCTTGGTATAAAGTTTTGACAATCTTTTAAACTAAATTCAGGCAAAGACTGTACTGTCCACAAAAAAAAAAAATGAAATTTCACACTTGACTTCTGGAAGCCATCATGTTAATTGGGGGTTTTGGCATTGAACTTGCTAGTAAGTGAGGAGATTAGGATATAAACAAGAGGCCTGGCCGAGTAGCTCAACGGATTAAAGCACCTGCAAACAGGAGCATGGGCCAGGGGTTTGATCCCCAGGCCTGCCTTGATGGTCCAGCCCCTGGGGCATGCTGAGATGGCAAGTGAGACTAGGCGTGGTGGTATCCACCTGTAATTCCAGCTCTTGGGAGGCTGTAAACAGGTGGATCACTATGAGTCCAATCTAGTAGTGAGACCATGAACACCCTGTAGAAGACCCTTCCCTAAAATACAAAAAAAAAAAAAGATATAAACAAGCAACTTAGGATGTAATAAGGAGTTCGTTAAATTTATACTATATGTTCCTAGTTATTATATGTTATTGATTAATTCATCTCAGAACAAGAAGTCCTAATATTAAACCCTTAAATAGCTATGATGGTAGAGGCAACCTTTGTCAGTTAGTAAGAAAATGTGTTCTCTGTGAATGTATCACAGAAAGAACATTTATGTTTGTTAGAGTCATAGACTTTGAAAAATCCATACTATACTTGTAAAAATAAGCTGCATTCTAAGAAGAAGGGAGGGGGATTCTTTTGGTCTTAAGGGTGGTAGTACAGAACAAAATCCACAGCTAATGCCATTGGACCCTTGCTGTCTGATTCAGCCTTGCCAAGGGATTGGAACAGATGCATGCCTAGTTTTTAACCGAGGGAATGCTCACTGTCATCTGGGATGCCTGGGACATTCTTCACACATAGGAAGGGTTTAAGTTGGACTTTAAAAATGATTACTTGATTCAACAGAAATCACTAATTTAATATCACTGAGACTTTTTGGAAGGTTATGAAAGTGCTCAAAGATCAATATACCATCTAGAGTAGGGGTCCCCAATGCCCAGTCTTCAGTGAAGTTGTTCCCTGTGTTGAAAGAGTTTGGAACTCTTTCAATTCTGCTGGTATAGAGATCTGAATTCAAGAAAATCCAGGAGATGATATAATTTAAAAGATGTAGGGAGCAAGAATTACTTGGTCTCTCAGGTTGCTTGCACTGTAATAAATGAGCTCAAATCATTTCCAGTCTACTGACTTTCCCCTCAGGATTCTACTTACTGTCAATAATGGACTTAGGAGAGAAGGTTGGCCTGTTCTCACTGGGGTAGTGCATTGACCTCTTGGGTGAAAGATGAGAGAACACCTTGATTAACAATCCTAGAGCATTGTATGGAAAGAAGAAGAAATAATTCACAGAAAGGCAAATGCATATCATTAAAGGTAGGATAAATGTTGAACAGCTGACAAATTAATGAACAAAGTAATATTTGCTATGAAGAAGTAAAGTTCAGTACAAAGACTGATTGGAGAGGGGAGTGAAGCATGAGCAAAGGTCAAGTAGATAAGCTTGATTCAGTCTTCATTTAGGAAAGCAGTGACAAGCAGGCTTGGATGGACTAATGGATGGATAGAGGGATGGATGGGGGCAAACTACTGATGTCCTTATGTAATTAATTAAGGGATTTGGACTTTGAATTGAAGACTATAGGGGGCATTTATTATGTTTTAGCATATCAGAGACAAACAAAAATATCTTTTAGTTAGCAAATTGGACAAGAATATTAATTGCACTAAAGTAAATGCTGAATGCATTAAAATAAGCAAAGAGTTAAGCTCAGAGTCCCCAGAGAGCTATCTTAGACAACAGCAAGAAAGAGTAGGTTGTACCTCCCACACCCACAGTAGACAGACCTGTACTAGCAAGGGAAAAGAGAATGGCATATTTGAAAGCCTGGAAGCGAAATTGACAACGCCACTGAGTAAGTATGGTGGGAATACAGGTGAGGATTGGAGCCTGACTGTGGGAGGGTGAACATCACACCATTAAGAGGAAAGGGAACAGTCATTGAAAGATGATCTCTGAAATGAGATCAGAAGGTGAACAGGTTTCATTAGATCTGTTCATTTCACAGTGCAATAAGAATCATAGGTAGAAATACGCAGTCAGATATTAGCAGAGAGAAATCAGGCTCACAGTTTCAGATCTGAAGGGCCATCCCCACAGAGACAGAACTCCAGGGTCCTGTGGATAGAAGAGATCACTGCAGAGAAGACTGGAGAGAGGAGCATGGCCAAGGGGCTACAGCCTCAGAGGCTCCATGCCCTCTGCCACAGAGTCTGCATTTGTTGAATTTATCAGCCTCCTACTGGAGCAAACACCTAAACTAAGAGCTTGCTGCAGATCAGCTTTTCATCTTCCTTATTTCTATCAATTGATCTATAAGCTGAGTCTTAAGAAAATTAGTGGCTACAGAAACTAGATTTCCAATACTGGAAGTCTAGACACTCAGGGCACTTTTTTGAAAACTAAGTCCTACTAAAACATATGGGTTCTTTTGTTAAGTAACTTTGAATTCATTTAAAGAACACAAACTGCTTTCAAAAGCAATTTTGTAACTCTTGGGCAAACTCTATTTGGTGTTTAAAATGTATATAGTTATTTTTAAAGGAATGGCTCAAGCTTTAGTCATATCTTTTTCCTCTCCAAACTTTATTGCCAGGTCTCTTTCTTTCCTGAACATTTTGTCTCTTTTCCTGCTTATGAAAGGGTTTCTTTCAAGCACAGGGTCTGGGAGGTTTGTTGAAAGTACAGTGTGATGGTTCCAGGTGTGAGGTTCCAGCCGTGTGCAGCTCAGCGTGAGCTGTCTTAATAAGTGAAAAAGCAGGAGAAGTCAGTTGTCTGCTGCAGCATATTCTATGCTGGGATGAATTCATGTTTTAGGGAAAAACTACCCAATTGCCAAACAGTGGCTAAGTGCTTGTCATCTCGCCGCTGACTTGTATCCCGCAGTGGTTAGCACTAGGTTTGATCCTCTGTTAAAAAGAAGTGTGCCTGCCGAGGGACATATGTTATCTTTTCTGTCTATTAAGTATTTATGATGAATCCTTCAGGCACTCTAAACCAAACCAGATTCCATTCATCTCCAGGGAAAATAACACTTGGAATTTCTGCAAGTTTCTTCAAGTGTTTGTAGGCATATATTTATGTTTTGTTGAAACGTGCAAAAAACATTTAATGTAAAACAAAAAATTAACAAAGACCAAAAAAAGCCTACTCAATCTTTATTAAGCAGTCAATGCTTATTAGATCACAGGGCATCCTCAACTGAAAGGGAGTAGATGAGAATGTCACACTCATATAGTGTAACTATATTATGCCTTAGATCAGAGAAGGTAAAACTGAAACATATGTCTGAGCTGGTGTTAAGCAAGTAACAGTCATGAACATTACTATTTTATAGTTTCTATCTGTAGAATTCTTTTCAACTTTTTTTTTTTTTTTTTTTTTTTTTTTTTTTTTTTTTTTTTTTTGCGGAACTGGGGATTGAACTCAGGCCCTTGTGCTTGCCAGGGAAGTGCTTATTCTACTGAGCCATCTCCCCGGCCCCCTCTCTTTTTAACATTTTATTCACATCTGTATTCATTAAATAACTTTGCCTTGGTAAAAAAGCTATGATTTCCAGAGGGCCTTCGTCCAGCCATTCATTTATTCTGCCTTCATTGAGTAGCTACTATGTGTCTGCTGCCATTGTGACAATAGGAATCGTGGTGGCCAACGCAGACAAGATCCTTGTCTCTGAAGAGATAGAGAGAAAAAAAGCAAGTAAGCAAATTTAAGAAATGAAATAAAATCAGGTAGTAGAAAGTGGTATGAAAAAAAGCAGTGCAATGTGATTGGGATGAAAAGGTCAAATGCTCAAAGCAAGTGGTCTGGGAAGATCTCTTTTAGGAACCTCCATTTGAGCTGAGATGTGAAAGGTAAGAAAAAGCCAGCCATAGGAGGACTAAGGGGGAGAGAATAGGTAAAGGATTAGTAAAAGTGAAGTCACAGACAGGGTAACAACCTGCTCAACGCTGCGCTCCCAAAACAGTACTGCTAGGTCTACACTGACCTCTCCTTACCAAGTTTGTGTTATTTCAGATAGTCTGGATTTCAATTTATTTCTGATCTATCAAGGAATTATAATGCATAATCTTCACTTGGAAGAAATATGAGGAATGTATTCATACAATGAAGTCTTTGGAGATATGCACTTGGTTTCACTGGGGACATTATTGTTATTCACTGGTCATCCCAGAGGCTAAGGTCATAAATTAGTTCCTCCCTTTTTAGTAAATATCAGCAGCATCTCCATCTACTTTTTAATTCACTTCTTTTTAGTAAAACAAAATATGTGTTGCAGTGTAGATGGAATATATCAATAGTCTAGTGTCTCTAGTAGGAAAGGCAGAAATGCAAGAGTTTTCAGTGCAGAAGAATTCAACCTGTCAGGCCCAGTTACTCTAAATTTTTCTTTGTTTTGCCTTTCTGTCCTTCTACTCTGTTCTAGTGTATGTCATTCCTCCTATTTGCTCTCTAATGGCAACATAGAAATAAACTTACAGCAATACCAAATTTAAGCGCATCTGAAATAGCTCCTCACAATTGATAAATGAGCAAAATGAGACTTAATTGAAACAGCTAAATTTTTAAAAACTCAGAATTACTTCATCTCATTCAGATAATGAGATTTTATGAAACAGTATTAGCCATGAAAAAAGCTAACATATGAACCTATGGTGTTTGCTTTAATTAATTTCTGTTTTATTTGTTTTTCCTGATATTTCCTGCTCAGTTTTTTTGTTCTGTTTTGTTTTATTTTAATGTATTTGGTACAAGGTCTCACTACATAGCTTGGACTCATAGTGATTCTCCTGTTTTCAGCCTCCCCAACATTGGGATTACAGGCATGCACCACCATGCACGGTCTCAGTAGCCAGTGCAGGGCACCAGGGGGTGGGGCTAGCATGGCATGTGATGCCGAAATAGAACCCTGGTTCCAGCACTTGCCTACGCTGGTACGCAGTCTACAGAACTACCTCACCAGCCCATTCCTCCCCAGTTTTTGAAAAGCAGAATTATTTTGAATTTATGGTATTTTTTTAATTATCTAATTTCTATTTTGGACCGCCTTAATGACATTTCCTCCTCAATTTTTAAAACCGTAATTTTTTCATCTCATTTAGATAATTAGGTTCTTTGGGTACAATACTAACCATGAAAGAGCGATCATGAATATATGATGTTTGTTTTAATTATCTAATTTCTGGGTGTTTGTTTTCTCTTGCCATTTTCTTCCCTGAAGGATCTCAAACTTGAACCTCTGGAAGAAGAAGTTATTGATGGGAATACTAAATCTGTAAGTACCTTTCCAGGTCAAAATTCTGGATATACATACTTGTAAAATGTGGTTCAACTTCTTCAAAACCTATTATTTCCATTAAAAATTTTAAAATTGAGGAATATATGAGCATTGTTCATTTTGCATGAGTAAACTCCGCTTTGTAGAAGTGTAATATCTACTTCTCAAGGGATTTTTTTTTTGTGAAACAGCATGTAATGGATGAAATATGCAAATTTTATGCATGCATAAGTCAATGTAATTATTAAATAATTGAATGAATATGACTGCAAGAAAAGGTTAACATGCAAATTTTATCATGAGCACATTTTGTGAAAGCTACCAAGTTGAGTAATTTACATATCTGAGCTGAAGTCCACTCCTATTTGTTATTGCATTTCCAATATTTAGCCTGAAGCTAGGAACCTCTAAATGCTCAAAAATAATTTTTACAAAAACACATTGATGTTTAGAGAAAAGGGGCCATTTATGGCCCTGGAGAAATGCATATCTATAGTGGTTGTAATGTATGAAAATAGACAAACATAATAAAAGGTAGAATGATTTGTAAAAAAAATAGTTAATAAATTAATTGAAAGCAACACATACTGTGATTTTATTTTAGCATATTTATAGTATGTACTATTTGAGGAAGTTGGGTGATTTCATTTACACTTAGTAAGAAACTAGATTTGATAATCTTGGATACTAGCAGAAAATCACTTTTCATAATATCTTATTGTGTTATATGCAATCTGTGCCTTGTAGACAGATGATGAGGGACCAGTCGCATTTACATGGAAGCTGGGAACTTTCGTCTGTGTATCTGTACTGTTTCACAGGCACTGACTGCATGGCAAGAGGCAGTGCCCACTCATGTGGTAGGCTTTTGCCCATTTTTAGTTTTGAGATACAAGAGGATTCTTCATAGAAAGTCTTGGGGTTTTTCAGAAAAGTTGAATAATGGCTGCTATCATTAGAATCTTAGAGATCTGCATATTCATGATAGAACTGCCTTTTTTCACTGAACAATCAGCACTTTTATGTCTTCAAAGGCATCATTGCAGTTTGTGTTAGCTTATCAGGCACCTCAGATACTACAGTGGCTGCCTGTAGGAAGCTGAGCTGGTGTGGAGCCCTCACCCTAGAAGAGCACGTTGGTGTGGTTTTCTAGGCACAGCCATGGTCAATCTTATGATGCTACATCCAGTGCCATCGCCTATGATTGAGGCAGACAACTCCAAGAAAAATGAACACAACTCTCCTGAAGTTGTGAGAGGCAATTGTCTACTCTTAAATAATTTTCTAATGAGGGGCTATTAATCTCTATCTATGAAGAAGAAAAATCATCCAAGGGTTGTTTGTGAAAGGTGGCAGCTGTGACATTTGCTAAGCCTTGACAAAAGAGAAGTCAATGCCAATACATATACTGAAGATAGTCAATACACACAGGACTACAAATTCAATAGTACATAAACTATGAGGTATGGTCTCAACATATAGGGAAAATTAAATTTAAACTTTTTTATTACAGTACATTTTAATCCACATCACCATTAATCCCCCTTAAAACATTTCCCTTCACTTTGAACACATTTTCCATATTTCATTTTGTTTTGTTGGCCACTTTCTGAGATAGTTCTGGAAGTCTTCTTTCACATGTGTCTTTAGTTGAGCTGTAAAGCAATATCCTCAGTCAATGTATAATGTTTGCCTTTCATGTCACTTTGACTTTGGGGAGGAACCAGAAATTACACAGTGCCAGATCCAGTAAATAAGGTGGATGATGTGAATGATGGACACATCATTATTTTTTTACTGGGCAGAAATTGTTACAAACTCTTGATCAATGGGGGGGTGATCAAGGCATATAGATATGACAAATGTTTAAATTTAAAATTTTGTTACAATTAAAGACACATTACTATTATTCCTCCAAGTACTCCTTCTTTCTTCCATCCCTTATCCCATGATTCTTGGCAATGTTTCTTTTACTATAATAAAGATTTTGTTTAACTTAAACATTTGCCATATCTTTCAATCACAGCTATGCTTTAAAAAATTGGGACTGGGAAAGTATTTCAGTTGTCAATATTGTTTAAAAACAGGAAGAGATATTCTGTGACTATTTTCAACCATGTATAATAGGTTAAAAATAAGTATGACCTTTGGGTATAGATACATAGCAACAGCTCAAACTGGTTATTTTCTTTCACAATTAATAGTAAGAGCCAAGTGTGATGGTGTGTGACTGCAATCATTGAACTCTGGGATTTTGAGAATAATAAATTTGAGCCCAGCCTGGGTAACTCAATGACTTGTCAAGGTCCTGTCTCAAAAGTGAAAAATAAAAAGGCCTAGGATGTAGCTCAGTGCAATGATTCTGTGTTCAATTCCTAGTACCACCCCACCACCACCAAAAAAAATCAATTAATGTTAAGATGTTTGTCAATAAAAGTAGTATTTTTATTAGTGGTAGTACATGCATTACTATTGAAGCCTATAAAATCTCATATTCAGAATGAACAAAACCACTTTTCATAGTTATTTCACAGCTAATACTTGTAACTGTATCCTATTAAGCATTCAATGATTTATTCTGGTACCTAAAACCAGTTTTAGAATTCATTGACTAAAGACATTCTTTGCTTTTCTATTAGTCAAGGCATTAGAGCTTTTTAACATAAATTCCACAATAGAAAGCAAAGTATATGCTTGTATTACACTTTACTTTTTAAAAGCCAATCTTTGCTGAGCACATGCTATATGCCAAGAGTGATGCTGAACACCCAGCTGTACAGCTCACTAATCCTTGAAATAGCAGAAGGAGATGGTGCCATCAGTGGCCCCATGACACAGGTGAAGACATTAAGATATTGAGACAGTCAGAAACCATAGCTGAGCTCCAGGAGTTAGGCAGGCACTGGACCTGTACTCATTTCCAGAATGTAACATTTCTCTATGAGTCAGTTTTCTCTTTGTTCAGATATATGCTTTGCATCTACAACTTTAAAGAGGTTTAATTTAGTTCATTTTAGGAAAGTCAGTGTATAGCTGACTGGCCAGAAATAACATGGTAGACAGACAGCATGAAGGAACAAAATACTTAGTTCACACCTGTGTGAAAGCAGCGCAGACAATAAAAGCCAGAGGGGAATGATCCAGGGACAATAAGGAATACCAAGGGCATGTCTCCAAGAACTACGCAGACAAACACAGAAGTATCCTGTACTACTCTACTTCTAGGTGCCTTTCAATCAATGAAGTTGATATAGCAAAATTAATAGTCATAACTTCCAATATGTTAATTTTTGTGGAGTTCTGGCCACTAAAGTACAGTCAGTCTTTGAGTGAGTCTCTAGACTAACAAACGGCTGTTTCATGAGGTTTCCTACCATAAGAGCAGAACACAGTATTTGGTGGATTTTTCAAAAGCACAGAAAAAATCCTGGACTCTAATAGTGCCATATCTAAATTACCAAGCAATAAACCACTATGGCATGATGAGTATAGGATATAATACTTTTTCAAAGCTAACTTTTCCCCATCCTAAAGTAATGAAAGTGGCATTTATTAAATACCTATTATAGGCAAAATATTTATATATATTATTTTATCTAATCTTTGCCCAAAACATGTGGTGTAAATGCCACCATTTAAATTTTCTGTAGAGTTAATAAATAGTCAAGATATGAAAGATTAAGTAATTTATTCAAGGCCACATAGATTAAAACCAAGTCATTTTCATGTATACACTTTGTTCCTGATAAGAAAAGAAGAAAAGATTACAGAGATAAATGAAAGAACACCTAATGATTATAGAGTAGCTGGAGTTTTTAGGGCCCCCTCAAATATACTTCTGAAATAAATGAATATATAAAGTTTATTAAGGAACTTATAATAATAGTCAGTGGTCAAAAGCAAAATCATCTTTATTTCTTGCTCCACAAATAACGTAACCCACCTGCCCATTATGTATCAGGCCCAGAGAGAAGGTCTAGAGATAAGTTGGTGACTCTCTCAATGTAGAGAATAGACCAGAAAGAAATACAAGTGTATAATGAGAATCTATAATAAAATGTGAAGTTTATTACAAGAAAGATTTGCATATCAAGGGGACAGAAACTAACTTAGGAGATGCAAGAATGGTTCCAGAATGACATATTTAAGACAAAGCCAGAAAAAATAAGCATGATTTTTTAAACAGTATTCATTTATCTTTTACTACATTGAATGTTCTGACATTGTACCAAAAGAACACCATAGTACTACAAAATAATATTAAAATGTCTTGAATGATTTGTAACAAGTATTAAAGATAACAACCTTAACAATTTATGAATTTTTATTGTTGATACAATAAAAATAGGAAACAAATGTGTATCAGGGTGTGCCCAGCTCTGAATTCTAACACCATTATCTTAGAACTTGTTGAAAATTTGGGATTTTTATGGTCCTAGAACTGTCAAATAGTAGACAGTGTATATGAAGCAAAGGAAGGTTAATGGGATTTTTGAAAGGGATCACTTCAAGCAGAACACACACACTAGGTCTGGCCAAGTATTTTGGTCCACCTAAAGCATTTTTACCAAGGATCCTGTGTGCTTTGTGTGGCCCTGCTTATCAGTGACTACTTGACTAGCAGGATTATTTTCCAAATATCTTCTACATTGAAAAGAAGTATGTTTAAAGGCATAAGAGGCCATTTTTTAAACCTCACTTTCTCAACATATCGCTCTTGTGCACACTAAAGTAGCTTCTCATACTCCATAACATAAAAGGAGTCTCCAAAGCAAAAATTGTTTTTGCCTCTTAACCCTCATTAAAGAAATGAATAATGCTTTTGAAGTAAATTGATTCTGCCATATGTTCATAAGTGGAGGGCTATCACCAACTAGTCTGTCAAGGAACATCAAGTCAAAATACGGCCTTGCTTTGCAAAAGCTGTTAAGAGATTGTTATAGTAAAAAAAAAAAATTCATGATATCACTGAAGATATAATCAGAACAATTGTAAAT